ATGTCTTAATAAATTATTGAAATTCACTTATTCTGAATATACCGGTCCTTCAAGTTATCCAAGAAATATAAAATAGATGACAGTATTTAGAAGCAAAAACAAAGAAAAAAAGGCATCATGTTTATAAGGAGCTTCATATCTGGGAGAGAAATATAGTTGACCATAAAGTATAATTCATTTTTAAAATTTTGCTTCTTGTTTCCCATTCCAGTTCTAGCAGTTGACATGATAGTTTTGATAGGTTCTTCACACCTTTAACGTTGAAGAATTACACACCGAATCGATACCACTTGTTAGAAAATAAAAGAACGAGAATAATATGACAATATCAAAATCAAAAAAGAACACAAGACTTACATACTAAAATTATACCACGAGCGGAAGAGGAGAATTTATTAATATCAATAATAGAATATTATAAATTATTGTGTAGAATGTAAGGATTTTCTCCATATGAGTAGTACACCACATATATATAATATAATACTAAGATACTTGACATATTAGGAATATAATAAAATGAAGAGCTCAATATAAGGTGAAGTCCTAATACAATGGGTAAAACTAATAGTGGAATATATGGGATGAAATAAGAGTCAAAAACTGCCAAAAAAGGGAATTTAAAAGCTGCCTGGATATTACCGCCGCTCGAACGGCATCTTTGCGGAGCTCGGGCAATAACACCGCCGCTCGAGTGATAATCGAACACCAAGCGAGTGCCATGGTCTCTATTCTGAGAACTCAAGCGTCTCTTTAGAGTGAAGCGAGCGGGCTTCCTGCGTAATCGTTTCCTAATCCATTTTGGACTCCTTCAAGACATCTTCAAGTCAACTACCAACTTTCAAATTGAATTTCAACTTAACTTCCCAAATTGACTTCAACTAGAATTCCCAACTAGACTTCAAATAGAATTCTCAAGTAGTCTTCCAAATAGAATTCGGGTTACACCCCAATTCTAACATTTAAGAAGTTAACTAGGGTTTTAGTGCAAAAGCTAAAGACTGGATTTGGTTTGGTGTTTATTCTGTCCGTCCAAATATTTTCAGAACTTTAGGAACTAACAAAATCATTCCAACAGAACAGAAATTGCAAAGTTCCTGTAATATCTCCTGAAATAATTTATAAGAAACTAATTCGGAAGATAGATTATCATAAGGCGAAATACAAAAGCAATCATAAGCTAGTTACAGCAACAATGAAGTGGGTACTTAGACTTGAAAAATGAAAGGCAGATGAAAAAGATAATTATGAGCTCATCAGCATATATATATTATTATTAAGCGACAAAACTTGTCAGATTGGAAGGGAAATGATAAATAATTAAGACTGTCGACTAACCGATGGGCATGACATTCTGCAGTATTTTCCGGAAGTTAGCAATAATCTTCCACTACCCATCATCCTTTTATGGCTATCTGGAGAAAACAAGAAATGTCATATGTGGTCTCATCTTTTCTGTTATGATTTAACAAAAACAGGAATATTGTAAGCAAATGCTGTTATTCAACAAATTGGGAACATTGTAAGCAAATGCTGTTATTCAACATGTAATTACATTTTCCCCAATCAATAGAAGATTCACAAACCAGTTTTACATTATTCGTATATCTAACTCTGTTAAAATAAAATTTTAGGTTTATGTGGAAAAATTGCATTAGTAGGCTGCAGTAAATGTCATCTTTGTTTCTTTTCCGTTTTAACTAAAACAGGAAATATGGTTACTAACAGTTTACTACATTTTCCAACATGAAATACAAGATCACAAACTATACACGTTTTATTCTCACTAATTCTGTCGACAGTTAGATATCACCATCTGAACTCAAAGTTGTATCGAGTGAATGTGGCCATTCCCATGGTAGTTTTTAGAACCCTTTGATCAGTAGATGTGCTCCCCTGTCAAGCCTATACGGATTTTCTTCTTTTACAATAAATAGTATTGGCAGCATGCTTTAAATACCATTGTGAATGAGGATTACAACAAAAAATTGTAAAGAAAAACAAATTATCCACACAAAATTTGATTTCCAGAGTATCAAAATTTGATCAGAGTATCACTTCTCATTCTAAAATCAACCATAAATATGTGACATAAAACAGCAACTTGCCCCCCACCCCACCACCTCATATTGGATCACGAATGTCCTGCATAGTTTTATTGAATGCATCAATGATATTCCGCACTATGGGCAGGAATGATGTATCTCATGAAAGTACGTCACATGCATGATCCTGGAGCCTGCAAAAGATAACATTTTAAGACAAATGAAAACTAAATTGATCAGTAACTGAATCATAAGCATAGTTATCTTCTGGCGTCTCCACGAAGTTTAGATCAGAAAAGAGTACAATCCCAGAAGCTTTTCATTTGTTATATTCAATCTTCTAATTTTTCGTGTTACTTTAACCTCGAACTGAAATCTATGTTATAATACTAGAACTACAAAGAAGCTACTAAGTTGGCAGCTTTTGATAATGATAATAACATGGAATTCAATAAGTAGATACACAAAAATGCTTAACGGAACAATTAAGCAGGTTGATTCAGACTTTTCCTTGAGGGTTTCTATTTGAAAGGCATAACTTACATCTTTACAAGGCAGAAGAAGAGTAACGTTCAACCACGCCTGGCAGCCATTCTTTAAAGTATTTTAGGTCAACTAACTCAGCATGAGACAAGGCACCTAGAGGAGTAACAGTTTTTTGCAAGAATAAGTTAGTGATAATTAATCATGGAACTTCCTCTTCAATCACTGGCTATGAAAATTAGAACAGAATAAACATACATATCCTTCTTGAAGGGAACAGTAGTTCGTATCACCATCTTCCACGTGTGATCCCCTGACCTAGTGCACAATATGGCATTTTTCGAATTAAAAAACTCAGAAAGAGGAAGATAATGTATGATGCACGGCAAGTAGACTCGTGTGGAAACCACAATATTTGATGCATATAGTTCTTTAAGGAAAAAAATGCAAACTTTAGAAAAAGTGCAAGCTAAAAGAAAAAAAATCTCACTCCTCTCTTGAACAGAAGATGGTCATGAAGTGCATTTGAAGCATCTGACTTAAAAATATAAGATGAAATCCTTTCCATAGTCATTGTTGATAACATCTTTCCTCCTTGAGCATCAGAAGTAACTTGCCTCCATCCCATATTAGCAATACTCTTACCCTGCTTAGTTAGCCGATAACCCTATTGGAATTACCAAAACAGCACTTAGCATCTTCTTCTGTACGACGATCACAATTAAAAATGAGGAAATTAACAAGAAGCATGTCATAAACTCCATATTTAATTATTAATTTATGGCATAGGAAGTGAGAAGCAATACAAAATGCAGTAAATAAAAGTCTAAAAGAACCAAAGTTTTAAGAGATGTGCTGAAAAGAAAATATAAATAGAAATATTTTCATTATTTAGGATCAGTGATGAGAGTAGCTGCGGGTGCAAGAATTGAATGTGGCCAAGTCTGCGACATCTTATCTCAATGACATCAATAGCGACAGTCGTTGCCAAAGCAAACCAACAAATTACCTTATGCTAGATGACATTGGCACCTCTATATTTAGAAAACAGTTTTGATGATAAGTTTTATTCTTGATTTCGACCAGTATTGTGCTGTTTATTGCTAAGCAAGCTCATCGACATTGCTCCTCCCTCCAGCCCTGGAAGTTAGCAATCCAATAGTTGTCCAATAATCCCACCCTTTCAAGACGCATCAGATGAAAAAGTCTAACAGTTGTTTGTAGATTAACCTGTTAATTACATACTAATCTAATATAGATTTACACACATAAATAACACCCTCATATTTTTGTATTGTCAATACATTTACCTATCATAAATGAATTTAATGTAACCAAAAACCGAGGTAACTAGGGAGGTGCAGACATGCTCTCCTTCATACTTTCAGAGCTAATCTCATAAATCCATTATATTCTGCGTATCTAATAGACAACACAACTTCTCAGCTTTAATTTGGAAATTTTAATGCATATCATCTGCCAATTCAAGGGTGCTGAAGCCTCTACAATATGAACCTGACTATTTCTGCTATGATGTAAATTCAAAAGGCTTAGATTAAGTAAAGGAATTCTATCCACTAGAGAAGTTTGTCATTTGAGCAAACCAAAATGAATTTACATGCTTAAATTATTTGTGATAATTCTTACGAAATAGAAAGCATTTGGACATCATTTGTGATTCCCACTGGCTTAACAGAAACAGCATTTCCCCAAGTAATGCTATGACTAACAACTTACTTATCCCCGGGAATCATAAGAGTAAGAAATAACCCAAGACATCATTAGAATGAATTTCCAAAATAAATATGGATATCAACATTTGAGATTATTTCTTAAAATTCAAACTATCATCAAAGATTAAAGAACTAAGAATAACAATGCTTTTGGACATATGACTATAGTATTATATATCAACAATATAACTTTTAAGCCGTAGAAACAACGATAAACACAAGAAAACTCTAAAGTCTCCCAATTAAGCAACGAAGATAATTATATTATCAAATGCAAAATTAGACAGATGAATATAATAACAAATTAGACTCGTAATGTTAATATACATACGATGACGTGGACGAGAGCACGCAACCCTGGCCATCGATTCCATCGTCGTTTGTCGCCGTTGCTGTCGGCCGATCGCCGAGATCATTACTCCATTTTGTCTCCATCTTCCCTTTTTTTTTTTTTGTGCTGCAAGAAGGAGGTTTTTGTGAAAAATAATTATAATAGATTCATAAAGCCTCCATAGCAAAAGGTGTCGTGGTGTAGTTGGTTATCACGTCAGTCTAACACACTGAAGGTCTCCGGTTCGAGTCCGGGCGACGCCACTATTTCCTGCCTCTTTTTAAAATATTTTTATATTTTCTTATTTATTTTTTCAGTTGGGAGGGAGAGTTATTCCCGTCTCCGCCGCCCACTCACTCCTCCGAGCATCTCCTAACGCCACCCAGGTATACTAATTTTACTTACCACATGGAGGTTTCGATTCCTCATCGTTGCTTTAATTCTTCTACTTTAACCCAAGCTCGCCAGTCCAAAACACAATTTAACCTCTGGCACCCTGTTCTTCTCCCCGCACGCCTTCAGCTGCGTAAGTCGCATCTCCTGCAAACCCTCGCTCCACTAATGGACTCCCGCTCTCACTTAATAGTCCATCGTGCCTTCGACGACAATGGATCGCCTTCGGTGCCGAAAGAACTTGGTAATTACTCTTCAAGTTTAAATGTATTCGGCATAGTTTTCATTGGCACAATTTTTATTTTGTGATTACTTTTAAGACCATTTTGGGTACGACTTAACCTTAAATCCTATAAATCTACTAACCATGTTTTAGCTTAGCCATGTCGGATACAATTAGAGTACTGTAGCAATGGAGGTCCGTTATGAAAGGAGGGGTGGCATGCAACGACTCTTATTGTATCGCTAAGCTAAAGCTTGATTTATGGGTTTATAACCAGTTAGCCACCCTCCCCTTAAAAGCTGCTTGAGTTTACTCATTAGAAATTTTTTTTGGATTTTTGGTGATAATATTAATTCTTGAGAGATGTAGGCGGAAGAGTTGGAGAAGTGAAGAGGGTTACAAAAGAGACAAATGTATACGTGAAGATTAATCTGGATGGTAATGCCGTGGCTGAAAATAATACAGGGATACCATTTCTGGATCACATGTTGGATGTGAGTTTTCCTTTGTTTTCTGTTTAATGGTTAGTTATATAATTATTTCTCAAAAATGATTTGTTTTGTAGGATAAAATTTTTGGTTTTATATATAGTCGTGACAGTTCGGCTATGAAAATTATTTGTTAAGTTTGATGTCAATTTCAATTGGTCTAGCAATGAATTGGAGTGGAGAAAAAGAAATCTTATAGTTGGTGTTTAGTGGAACAAAACTTCGTTGTAGTAGTGAGTAAAATGATGTGGGTGTTAAGTTTATTCTTTGACTATCAATCTGCTTTCATGCTAATAGTTCGATTATCTTTATGTTTCTCAGCAACTTGCTTCGCATGGATTGTTTGATGTGCATGTGAAGGCTACCGGGGACACTCACATTGATGATCATCATACCAACGAAGATGTTGCCCTAGCCATTGGAACAGTGAGATTTAGATAATTTTACCCTTTATTTCATAATTTCGTGATCCTATGACTAATGCTTAGACATCACGTGGACCTCATGTGTGTGTTTGCTGGAGAGGATTGGATAGAAGTGATGAAGAAAAAGATGCTAATATCTTGTTTGTAAACTATCTAATTCGCTGATCTGTGTGCTGTTGTTTCTGAGATCCCTTCTCGGCTTATGAATTATGGGCATTGCAATGGTCTTGTAATTCCAGCCCTTCATTAATGAGAGTTCGTGACTACATTTACCTTACAACTATCAGTATAGATTTGTTCTTAGTTATTAATCAAAAAGCTGCAGTCAATTTTTGGTCGATTTTTAGCTTCTATGTTTATACTTCTCCTTGTCCCTGAAGTCACACAATTGTTCTATCTATAGAGAGTGATTTGTGGTCCAGTAGGTAGGTTAAAGATTCTTGTAATATGTGATGAGTGGTTTAAATTTCTAGAAGCCTTCAACTAATGGATTTTACTTGAAAAAGTCATTTATTTTTTGCCTGAAATTTTTTGGCAGTACATATTGAAATTGGCAGCTCTAAATGTTTGGATTTATCACATATTGTACTATGTGATGAGTGGATTTATCCATGCAGGCTTTTCTGCAAGCACTTGGTGATAGAAAAGGAATCAACCGGTTTGGAGACTTCTCAGCTCCACTTGACGAAGCACTAATACATGTTTCACTGGTATGGTAACAAACTTCTATGAAGTGACTTTCCGCCAATTTGATTATTTTCCATCAAATTTAAATTTTGAAAGTGTCTGCCATGTGGACTTGGACAATGTACGGGTTAGTCTCTCGTCAGCATCCTTGAATTCTATTTAATCTGTTTAAGTGAGTATGGTGGATTACCTTTATGAGAATGATACTAATCTCATTAATGCAATCAATCTTGGATGCGTAGAGGCAAAGTACTAGGTATAACAAGATTAGAGTACTTCCTTGACTTTCTGTCGTGGTGTTCGTCCCAAGTTATGTTGTCGGTTTCTGTAATGAAAAATATATGTAATCATTATATTCTTGTTTAACTATACTGTAGGATTTATCTGGAAGACCACATTTGGGTTATGATCTACACATACCGACAGAAAGAGTTGGTACTTACGACACTCAGGTAATTTGAATTCTATATTTACTTTGATATTTATGGATGAATTTATTTGAAATTTTCTTATGTTTGCTAACATGATTGATGGTTACCAGTGTAGTCACCCAAATTCAACACGATTTGATTTTCATTTTTTCTTAACAGAACTATGTTAAGATTGTTTTACTACGACTTTGTTTTGCTTTTAGCTGGTGGAGCACTTCTTTCAGTCCTTGGTCAATACCTCTGGAATGACACTTCATATACGTCAAGTAAGATTGCTCTACTCATATTTCTGATCTTCAATGATGGTTAAGCATAAAGATGCTCTTTTGTCACAATTGATAGTGGATAACAATTTCTTAACATGAATGCACCTTAGATAATTTACTTACCTTTATCAGAGAGGGCGGGCAGCTATCTAAAAATAGTCATTGCAAAGCTCATACATTTTGGCAGTATTGATGAGAAGTGCATGTTTGGCCAAGCTAAAAAGTTAATTTATAATTAACCAAGTTTTTCTATTGATAAATATTATATATTGGAATGAGTTGATTACTTAATTTAAATATATGAGTTACTTACAAAATGACTAACCTTTTTTGATTACTTAATTTAAATATAGGAGTTACTTACAAAATGAGTAACCTTTTTTAACTAAAATAACTTATTCAAGCATATTTGTAATTACATCCTATTTTAATTCTTACATGTACTTTGGTTTTCTTTTATACGAGGAGCATGTGTACTATCTTAAGTTTTCCACTTGGTTTCTTGTTAAGCCTATGTTTGCCAAATTTATAAATGAAATATAAAGATGAAAGGTAGTGGGTCCCACGAAATGTGTTGTTGAAATTAATGTTTGACTTTGACTGTGTAAATCATTTATAAATTTGTATCCAAGTGGAGTCTTAAGTTGTATATCAATATATTTCTGAATGGGAACAGCTTGCTGGGAAAAATTCTCACCATATCATTGAGGCAACCTTCAAGGCTTTTGCAAGGGCTCTTCGTCAAGCTACGGAATATGATCCACGCCGTCGCGGAAGCGTGCCAAGGTTTGAATTTCTTTTATTTACTCGAGAGATATGCATAGTTTTGTGGCCCCAGCTTTTGGACACGTAGTGACTAGCAAAATGAAGTAGGACAAGATCTTAGCTTCTTTAATAGTGTCCAATACTATTCAATCTCCTACCAAAAAGGCACTTAAATTATAGGTCCGTAGCTGAGAAATTAATCGTGCGTGCAACATTTAGTGGCGTTGATTCAATGATCCCTCAAAGCTTACATGCAAATATGTAGATTATGTGAAGCTGAACTCGAAAATTTGTGTATGCAGCTCCAAAGGGGTTCTGTCGCGTAGTTGATTCCCAAAAGCCATGTCAAAGGGGGATTATGATAAGCATTAGTTGATAATGATAAATTCTATCGTGAAGAATACAATGAAGTTTTCTTGACGGTATCTCCTCCTAGCAGGCATTCTCAAGTCCTAGCATTGCTGTTGCAATACAAGTTGGGAATTCTCAGATCGATCGCCATTTTTTCTCTTACAACGATGTGTGATTTGCATATTTTATTCGAGTCCTTAGAAACTTGGAGAAATGCCCTTGTTGTACATTACTTGACGTAAAATTTAACTATTAAGATAAATTTGTAATTTGTGAAATTCTTCATTCTTTATTTAGCAAATTTGAACAATGCTATTTGTTGGTCAAGCAGTCAAGCTTGTGGCTTTATATAGTGGACTGCCAGTCTGTTGGAATATAATTATTTGCAAACATCAATTTACATTTGGATGATTGAACACTGGATTTCACCATCTAATGCTACCAAATTTGGAAATGAAATAAAAATTGTAAACATCAAATTGATATTAAGTAACACCCCTTCAACAAATAATAAAAAATCGACGTGCGTCGTCGTTGAAAAAATAAAACCTACCAATTACAATTACAAAAATTTAAATTTTGCGTACATATCAAAAGCGTATCGAAATTCTTACCTAAAATCGATTAGAAATCGCAAATGATTTCTGGTGTTTCCCCTGATTTGATCTTGATTTCGGCACTCGAGAATATAAGTTAAAGCCCATTAAAAATCAGCAAACGTATTTTTCTTTAACTAAAAATCAGCAACTGGTGCTCCACCGGATTTATGCGCTATTCAGTGAATTTTTTTCGGGAAATTGGTGGCTACCCGGTGGAGACAGGCGGTGATGGAAGGAATTCTTGTAATATGGGGGGGGGGGGGGGGGGGGAGGGTGGGTAGGGCTACAGATCGGCATTGAGGGGAGATATGAGCTTGGGTGGGTATGCCTGAGAGAGGGGGAGAGAGAGAGAGAGGAGAACAGTGTAACGCTTGGGAAGATGTGAGAGAGAAATGGGATGAATTGAGGTAGTGTTTGCTCGGGAGAATGAAAGGCCCATAAAAAAAAGGAATTTTTTAATATGTTTGCTCGGGAGAATGATAAATAGCATTACTCAAGTTTATATATTTTGTGGTACACAGAAGCAAATGGAGACTACACAAATGAAAAGTAAAAGGGTGCCTTGAACTAGTCATCTACAAGTAGTCAGGTGGCCATTCATGCATCTAAACAAGTGAAGCAAGATTCTCATTCTACAAAAATTCTTCTGCTTTGTTTAAGTCGCTTAAGATTTCAGACTTAATCTCCTCTGGTAGGGTAGTAGATGGCCCAACCAGAGGAGATTGAGTCTGAAGTGTTGTCAATGGACCGAGCCGAGCCAGCTCGGCCCTTTAAGCCACGAGCTCGGCTCGGGCTGGTGGAGAAACGTTTGACGAGCTCATGAGCTGAGCCGCTCGTGGCTCGTTTGCTCGTGGGAGAGCTCGGCTCGGCCCATGAGCTCGCCAGTTCACGAGCCGGCTCATGGCTCGTCAAATTTTTTTTATTTTTCTTAGTTTTTTTTTAAATTTTTTAAATATTTTTTCACAAGCCCACGAGCTCGGCTCGTTCCCACGAGCGCTCGCCTCTTAACTAGCCGAGCCGAGCCGAGCTCGTCTACGTACCGGTCCGCTCGGCTCGAGCTCGTCTTTTGACGAGCCCGAGCGGCTCGTGGGCATGAACAGTACGAGCCGACGAGTCGCTCGGCTCGATTGACATCTCTATATGGGCCTGCCTTCGAGTAGAGGTTGGCAACAGATCTGATGGCCTTCTCAAGCTCAACATATGATTCCTGCATCGAGTGTGAAACGACATAAAATAACGATAATCAACTCAACCAAAGATAAAACGTTGATCTAATAATGCCCCCCAGATCTTCAGTCCTGCATAACGAGTTTCAATTTCTTTTTCCTTCTTAGTCATGTCCACTATTAATCAGTCCAACCTATCACATATGTCTTTTCGTTTGTGAAATGATTATCGTGTCGTTTTTGTGTGGGCAATTTGCACAGTTTTTTGTTTATTTACTCACCCCATTTGAGGTGAGATTGTGTCGTTTGTGAAAATTCCCGAGACCAAAACAAATAGCGGAAACAAACGACATATCAAGTCAAGCACTTATTTTGCAAATACTACGAATAGAGAGAAAAATGGAAAGAAAACATATTTCTTGCAGAAAGAGAGAATGAAAAGTGAAAACTTGTGCAACAGAGAAAGGGTTACGTACAATCCTACAATTGACTACTCTACCCTTTTCCAACAAAGAGACATAACCTACTATTTAATGCAAAGAGAACCGGTACAATGAACAAGATTTTAACTTCTTTTTCTTCTTTAATTCTGTCCACTATTCCTCATTACCAAAAATACCACAGAAATGGCTGAATAATCGTGCATTCAAATTCTTCTAGCATCTCTTTTTAAGAATTGACGCCAGTTCTATGCCTCTTATCTGTTTTCCTGTTTATCAGATTTATTTGTATCTTAAGCATAGATGTCTGCAGCAAAATAAATCGCCTATTCGACTATTTTTCATCCATAACAGTTAGTCAAACAAATTTACCTCATTGATAACTGTTTTTTGCCCTCTCCACCCATTCAAATATTCTCTAATTTACTCCTTCGCCGCATCAGCTGTTCGTCTAAACTTGGCAATATCCTTCGAATCTTCCTTCAGTGATTCGCGAAGCGTTTCACCACCTCTCTTGCTGATTTTAAGTAAGCCTTTGGCAAAACTTTTCCAGATTTCGTCTTCTCATTAGGATCGAACAAGGACTTCATAGTCTCGAGCACTCCGTCATCTCTATCATCCAAGACATTTGACTCTTCCCCAGCCCAAGCAGGCAACTCAACTAACTCGCAGTTCGAGTTGAAAGTTGCACATGAAAAAATGGCGCCACATCCTAAAACAAACTGGCGACGAGATGATGCTTCTTCAGACGAGAACATAGCTTGATAGCTGAATTGCAGTCTATCTGTTTTGTTGCCAGAGCAAGAGAGCAGCTAAGGACAGGGAATAAGGACAACAAGGAACAAATGCAAAGCAACAAAAGAAGACAAATAAAACATCTCAAAGATTGGTAAATGAATCACGACGAATTTGTGTGTGTTGTTTTCATTTCTTTTATTGCACATGTAAATGGGAATTACAACTTAATCCATAAAAACGAGATTACTGTGAAACATAGGCCCCTCTAACAAAGGTACTAAAACCTTCTAGCTGGTCGTAAAATCTTGGTATCTGCCTATAGCCGGATGTGTCCCTCAAATCTTTCCTCAATTGACTAATCACCCTCCTACTCGCACTCGCAGAACCCACAACAAGATGAATCAAAGGCCCCTGTAAAACCTATAAATCTGGATTATCAATCAAGCTCAAATTCATGGAAAAGATGGAAATTTAAAAACTGCTGCAGAAACTCAAATCCAAGATGTCAATCCTTATATAATTTCAGTATATATCATAAAATATAATAAAGCATTACATGAATCGAACTCACCAGGTTTGCTACTATCCCCAACTGAATTATAAATGGCAAGTGTATACATCTTTGTTGCAAGAAAAGATGCCATAATTGCTTTTAATCCTACCAAAATTGAGTGGCAGATTCTTCTTGACTCGTTGTACTCGATGATTCAGGAGAATATCTACACAAATCGTAAAATTTCAAATATTTCCCTCTACAAAGCAAAAGTTTTAGAAATAATGAAACCCACAATTTTAATCCTGAAATTTCCAGCAGGTAAACAATTCGAAAATAAAATCAAAATATACGAAGCTCTTAATAAAGGTGTCTGAATATATTTTTTCATTTGTTACTTTAATTACCCGAGCAGAGTACAGAAGTGTACCTTTCTTGTTTTTGGGTCCAATCGGAAACCGCCTCGAGAGTTCAGTTTGATCTTTATTTTATCCAAAATGAAAGTGAAAGACATTTTATAAATTATCGGGGGTAAACTAGTCTTTTAAAAAGATTAGGGTGAGTTTGGTTTTGATTTCAGTTTTCAGATGATTTTCAGTTTTCTATTTTTGAGGGTCTATTTTAAGATTGAAGTTCAGTCTGTAGAGACTAACGGATTTGTGAATCTAATTGAATGTACAAGAGCATGATCGATCAGATAGTCTTCTTGTATCTGAATTTCTACCAATTAAGAGCCTTGATTTCATTATCTTTGGTAAGTACTAGACTTAAATTTCATGTAGAATAGAAACTCAGGTTGTTGGTTCAGAATCATGAATTGGATTTCTCTAATGATTGTGCAGCATCTAATACTTCGTTGGATTTACTGGCAACATCTTAATCATTCAAAACTCAAAAGAAAGAATAACATGTCAAATCTCTTGAAAATTGGATCATCTATCAAACATTGATAAATTAATTTAATAGTGCTGTCATTTTCTTTCAACTTTAGCTTAAAGCTCTCTAGAAAATTTTCAGTTGTCCCTTGCACAGGCCATAGCACCCAATTCTCATCAGGATTCTACCCCCAAAAGAACAGCTTGGTGATATCTTAGACCTTTCATTATCAAGAACTTTTGGCATGATCTTTCTACTGTCTTTTTGCCTTTATGATCTGATAAAATTTCACTCAACATTGGACGACTAAATCAACTTGAGCACAGCATTTGGGAGTTGCCTACATGATCATATAACTTGTCAATCAGTACACAGAAAGAAAGGGAGGAGGAATAAATAACTTCAATTAGTTCATTTAGAAAACTTGTTGAGCCATAGTCTCTCGACCAAAAAGTGAAAATTGCTTCAATTAGCAGCTGAATCAAAAAATTGTGTCGATCAATTCCAATTCAGGCTAAAAATTAAATACTTGAAACTTAGATATCTTGCCAGAATCCTTCATGTTGAGTCAGTAGTTGAACCATAGTCTCTCAACCAAAAAGTAAAAATTGCAAATCATAAAAAATAAATAAAAATTGGCACTTTAATTGCCTATATGTATCAATAA